GGACACCAACTTCACTTTAGGACCCAAACAGAGTCTCTGGCCCGCCAGAGAATCTCATACAAGCCATTCAGTCACAGGATGTAGCCATTCACAGAGGCCAATCTAAAGGCCATAAACCTCAGATAAGACCGGATTCAACAATTGTTTTAGCACTTCTTTTACAAGAACAACAATTCCTTGAACCAAACATTTTGAGATGTCCTTTAAAGAAAAACTACTGAAATTAAATGAAGAGCTGAACAGATGCAGGTAAACATGTTTAAAATGTGACAAATGATAGAAAGAGTTCTGCTGTTTGCTAGTAGGCTAGATATGTTCCGTTTCTTTTCTTTTCTTTTTTTTGTGTGAAATGTAATTACCTAGCAGTTAAAAATGTTATATTTCCACAATTAGACCTGAATATTATCACACTGCAGTGGTACTCACATTTTCACAAATGCACTTTTTAATTCGGGTGAAAGTGGTAAAACACTATGCATGACCGAGTACTTGGTAGTTCAGCTCATTCCTGGAACACATTCTTTTTTTCCCCCTTCATTCATTAATCTTTTCCCCCCTGTCAGCCCATGACTGAATGCAAGGTCAGTCTAAGGAACTGCTCTCTCTGACGTGCAGTGGCCTATAATGAAGACGTACAGTAAAAGCATCATTAGATGAGTAAAAGAAAAGAGCGATGGATACTGGTGTTTGTGCAGCTGCATCCAAACTAAAACCTGATCCTCACCATTCTCTGAATACCTCCATCTTTTTCTCTCACAGGCTGGGCAGTGGTATTTGCCACACCATAATAGTGGACACCATCTCCTCGTGCTTAGACTGTTTTGTTTTTCTGTTGATTCTGCGGTGTCCCAGTCCTCCAGACACCACCAACAATGAGCTCACATTTACTTTCTCAGTCTGCTTGGCCTTCTGGAAGTGCGCCGGCTCGTTCAGCAGGTCGTATATCGCCCCGTCCTCTGAGCCGTGCTCTAAAGAGCCCTGAGACAGAGCCAGAGACCCACATGAGGAGGACAGGGAGTCCTGGAGAACTGGAGCATGTGAGGGAGAGCTGGTACTGCTGCACCCCACCCCAGAGCAGCTCTCGTCCAGTTGGGTTCCCTCCACCTCGGGGGCCCCAGGCTGGCACTGGCTGGGTGTGCTGGAGGTGAGAGTTGCCATGGTTGCTTGGGAGACATTACACACTGCTGTTGCCATCGTGAGGAACTTGACTGGGCCATGGTGAGCATGAAAAGAGACCATTCCTCGACCTGGGGCAAGACAATGAGGGAGATGAATGACATTAAAAAGTTTGCTCAAGCATAAAATAAAGAGATAAAACACACACAAATGTTAGAACACAATAATGAAATATATAAGGGTAGTAAAATATAACCCATCAAAACAAAATATAAATTTTAGTATAATTACTAAAAAACCTTTTTCAAATGTAAATATTAAACATAAAATCAGACGTCATTAAGTGTTATTTTTGTTTTATTTATATATACACTTTTATATACTTATTGGTCCCACTTTATATATTAAGTGGCCTTAACTATTATGTACTTACATCAAAAATAAGTATACTGTACTTATTGTGTTCATATTGTATTGCAAAACACTTTTGCTGCTATTGATGTGGAATACGGGTTAGGTTAGGTTAAGTTGTAAGGAATGAGTCAACCGTGTAATTACAAATGTAATTACATGCAGGTATTTAAAAATATATATAAGTACAATGTAAAAACATGCATGTACACAATAAGTGCATTGTTCCAAATGATTAATTTAAATGTAAGTGTATAGTAGTTAAGGCCACTTAAAGTGGGACCTATATATAATGTATATAAAAGTAAATATATAATAAAATTACATCTAATTTTTTTTTTCATTTTTAACATCAATTTCAAGTTTTTTTTTTTTAAAGTTACAAATTTAAATGTTAAAAAGTTAAAAATTTTCATCTAATATTAAATTTTATTTAATCAGCTTTTATTCAGCTTTACTTTGTAGTTTTATTTAACAATAATAGTCACTGACTGTTGTGGCTTTTGTGTGGTTTGTTCCTGAACTTCTGCTGAGTTGCAGTATTTGAAAGTGCTACAGACTTAAAATTACCCACAGGGCACTGGGCAGCAAACAAACCTCTGCCCTTAGCACAATTCCACAGTAAGCATTAAAAACTTGTCAAGAACCCACCTGTGACTTTTGGGATGCCCTGCAGTCTGGGCACGGACAGGGCCACAGTGACCCCAAGATTGGTCCCCACCAACAGCAGTCCGTGACACACTAACAGACTGCTCACAGAGACTCTCTGCTGTCCTGAAATGGAACAATTAATTTGATTTAAATACTTGCACTGCAAACTAAATCAGAAAAACACATACTATAAAACACTTGTGGCAAGCACTCATGACTAGAGGTACTCGGTGAAACATTCGCCCAGTGGAATAATAACATCATCCACACATGCTAGGCTGTGTGGGTAGGAACTCGACAGCATGTGTGGGTAGGTTACTATGGGGATGATGCTGAACAGCAGTTGGTTTCCAAAGAAACCTGACACGATGCGCACTTACAAATGCGAGGGAGGCCTCATTAGAAAGAAAAGAATGCCAAATGTTCAGATATTTGGTTAAACAAACAACTCTAAATTTGTACATCATGTACTGTACATTAAGTGAAATAATTTTAATGAAAATAAAATTCTAAATGAGCTACTGAAGTCCACAGTTCTATGAATGATATTAAATCGATTTTAAAATGACTGTCATGTTGGTGATTAAATAAAATCATAAGCAATTGTCATTGTCATTTTTGACCCATTATTGGTAAGGAACATGCTATAAATTGACACTGTGAAGAATATATAAACAAACACCATAAAAAACAACACACGAAAAAAGCACATTTAGAAATGGTAAGGAACGTTGTATTTAATAATAATAATAATAATAATAAAACAGTTATTTTTACTCAAAGTATATTACTGCATCAATTAAAAAAATAATAATAATAATACAGAATATAAACTTTAGGAAACTGCTGTAAGAACTATGAAGTTAAGAAAAACAATGGGAGGGTTAAAGGATTTTATGCACTAGACTTTTCAGAGACTTTTACCTAAATGCAATAACAATGGGTTTATGGTTTATTAGTGTGACTAAAAAGTAGTATGTCATCGGGCCAGAGCTGTTCTTTGGTCACTTATCACACATGAGCAAACAGAACTGCTGGTAAAAAGGAACTACACTGACTGAAAAAACACCCTCCAAACACCCGATTGGTCAGGACCAGACTGCAAGTTTGAAGTATGAGAGAACAATATCCTATTCAGCTGTTCCTTAGTGCTCACTGACTCGTTAGGAAAGGGTTTGCTCATATTTCTGAACATCATAGATCATTTCATTAGTCATGGAAACTCTAATCGAGGACTATTGCTAAACAAATGAGGACTGAGTTTGCAAAAGCATCTGCACAGTTTTGAAGTGTTTTACTACAAGTCCTGTAGACTAAATTAGTAGACCAAATCTGTCACAAAGAAACTAAATTAAGTTTTAAATGGCCACTTTATCAACAACTGTTCAGTCCTCTTTATACACTTTTTAAATATGTTTTATCTGTTACTCTGCATAAGTTATTGTGAAATT